AATCTGCACTACTCAAGGTGAATACTAGGTCCAGTCTTGCTGGTTCATCCTCTCCTCTCTCTCTCTTGTAGTGTCCCTTATGTGTTGGTTCATGAAGTTTTCCAGTACCACCTATATTATCTTAGCTCTTCATGTATCTTGGCCCCCATGTGGCTCCAAGTTCTCTCAATCCATTTCCTTGTGGTTAAAGTCACCAATGATAAGTAGCTTTGCCCTGCACACATGAGCCCTTCTGGCCACTGTAGCTAATGTGTTAACCATCGCTCTATTGCTCTCATCATACTCTTGCCTTGGCCTCCTGCTGTTCTGTGGTGAGTTACACATTACTGCAATTACCACTTTGGAACCTCAGACTGAAGTGTTCCCACTATGTAATCACTTGCTTCTCTGCTGTCTCCTCTCTCCAGCTCATCAAAATTCCATTGGTTTTTGATCAATGCCACTCCTCACCCCCCTGTTCCCTCTGTCTTTCCTCAGGATCTGATATGCTGTTGGAAAGATGGCATCTGTTATCATACCTGTAAACTTGGTTTCTGTGAGAGCAATGATGTCCCATGATGCCTCTGACTCTTTTGTGCCACTCCTCCCACTTATTTGTTATTCCATCAGCGTTTGTGTACCATACCTTCACTTTCCTCTCCAACACTGTGGTTTAGGGAGCCTGTGAGGGTGGGGGACCTGATAGTGTACTGGGGGATTCTATAGCTGAGTGTGGGTGGGAGCTGTGAGTATGGATTGTAGTTTGTGTTAGGATGGTGTGATAAGTTGTGGGATTCTTGGGACGGTTCTGTGTGTGATTGCCCTTAATGCTCTGCCCTGCTCTGATTGACCTCTGCTGTTTCCATCCTTGTCTCCTTTCCTATCTCCTTTCGCTTTTTTGTTCCCTCTCTTAGCTGCTAACGTTCTGTTTGTGTTCTGTCTCTGTCTAGGAACACCCTCTTGTACTCTGCCAAGTACTTCAACCATGGTTTCTCCTGGAGGATCCTGTTCTGTACTGTATCTGTCATGAAAACTAGCTTGATCAGAAGTTTTCTCCCCTTCAAGTACCCCCTGTTCTCTGAAAATTTACAATCTTGTCCATGTCTTCTTCACATATTTCTGTGATGATGTTCTCAATCTCCTTTCTTTCTGTCTTCTGTCTTTCAGTGTGTGTCCTTCCCTCGCTCTCCTGAAGCCCATGAATAAACACTGATTTTGCCCTTTTCTCCTCCCATTGCCTTTCCCACTGTAATTCTTGTTCCTGTCTGTACATGGCCATTTTCTCCCTTTTTTTTCCAGTAGCTCTTGGTAGCATAGTTGTGCCTCTGCATTTGACCTATCACCCTTTCCATCTGCACCCAGCTGCTCTTCCCTTTCACTCTTTCGCCCTTCTTGGCAGGCTGATATGACCTTAGCATAATTCATATCTCCTTCCTGTTAGGCCTCTCAGCTTCATATGCTGTGTCTTTTCTGGTCAGTGCCCCTGTAACTCGCTTCATCCTGTTTACTTCATTTCTAGGACCCTTATCCTGGCTACTGCAGCCTCTTTTCCAATTTCACAGAAAGCTCTGTCTCCATTTTTGCAGAAAGCTCTCCTAATTTCTCTCCCACTCTTGTTCCATCCTTTTCCACTGCTCCTCCATCCACTCCTCCCTACCAGAACCATTTTCATCTGATCCCTGGTTCCCTCGAGTCCCCACCATTTTTGTTTGTGTGTGTGTGTGTGCTTGTGTGTGTGTGTGTGTGTGTATGTGTGTGTGTGTGTGTGTGTGTGTGTGTGTGTGTGTGTGTGTGTGTGTGTGTGTGTGTGTGTGTGTACTCACCTATTTGTACTCACCTATTTGTGGTTGCAGGGGTCGAGTCTTAGCTCCTGGCCCCACCTATTCACCGGTTGCTACTGGGCCCTCTCTCTCCCCGCTCCATGAGCTTTATCAAACCTCGTCTTAAAACTGTGTATGGTTCCTGCCTCCACTACGTCATTTTCTAGGCTATTCCACTGCCTTACAACTCTATGACTGAAGAAATACTTCCTAATATCTCTCTGACTCATTTGTGTCTTCAACTTCCAATTGTGGCCTCTTGTTTCTGTGTCCCCTCCCTGGAACATCCTGTCTTTGTCCACCTTGTGTGTGAGTGTGCGTGTGTGTATGTGTATGTACTCACCTAATTGTGGTTGCAGGGGTCGAGACTCAGCTCCTGGCCCCGCCTCTTCACCGACCGCTGCTAGGTCTTCTCTCGTCCTGCTCCATGAGCTTTATCATACCGCGTCTTAAAACTATGTATAGTACCTGCCTCCACAACATCGCTTGCCAGACTATTCCACTTCCTAACTACTCTATGACTGGAAATAAATGGTATAAAATACCGACACAATGGAAATATAAACACATATGCAGTATAATAATGATCCTTCATTGACAACGTTTCGCCCACACAGTGGGCTTTTTCAAGTCACAAACAGATCTACCTGGGTGGAAGGTACGCGAGTATTCAGAACCTAACTATAAATACTCACGTACCTTCCACCCAGGTAGATCTGTTTGTGACTTGAAAAAGTCCACTGAGTGAGCGAAACGCTGTCCATAAAGGATCAAATTATACTGCATATGTGTTCATATTTCTACTTTATGACTGAAGAAATACTTCCTAACATCCCTTTGACTCATCAGAGTCTTCATCTTCCAATTATGACCCCTTGTTTCTGTGTCCCATCTCTAGAACATCCTGTCTCTGTCCACCTTCTCTATTCTACGCAGTATTTTGTATGTCGTTATCATGTCTCCCCTGGCCATCCTCTCCTCCAGTGTTGTCAGACCGATTTCCCTTAACCTTTCTTCATAGGACATTCCCCTTAGCTCTGGAACTAGCCTTGTTGCAAACCTTTGCACTTTCTCTAATTTCTTGACGTGTTTGACCAGGTGTGGGTTCCAAACTGGTGCTGCGTACTCCAGTATGGGTCTGACGCACACACTGTATAAAGTCTTCAACGATTCCTTACTGAGGTACCGGAACGCTATTCTCAGGTTTGCCAAGCGCCCATATGCCGCAGCAGTTATCTGGTTAATGTATGCTTCTGGCGATGTACTCGGTATTATACTCACTCTTAAGTCTTTCTCCTTGAGTGAGGTTTGCAGCCTTTGGCCAACTAGCCTATACTCTGTCTGCGGTCTTCTTTGCCCTCCTCCGATCTTCATGACTTTACATTTGGCGGGGTTAAATACTAGGAGCCAGTTTCTGGACCTTTTTTTTTTTTTTTTTTTTTTTTTTTTTTTTTTTTTTTTTTTTTTTGTGTGTGTGTTGTGTGTGTGTGTGTGTGTGTGTGTGTGTGTGTTTGGAAAGGTGTCAATTCTTTGTGATGTTATTAATGGATATTTCCTCCACGATTTGGTCCGCATACCTGTGTGTTTCTGGCTTAAATGAGAAAAACATTCCATTAACAAGTACTTTCTTTTAACCAGTGTTTTTTAACTAAGGTAAATGTTATATTGAGAGTTTAGTGTATTAACGAATGTTTCAAGAATGTCCTGACCATTCACTGACTTTGTCTCACGGTAAGTATACAGAGAAAGAGGCTTTTCTTACTCCTGGCATTGAACTGCAGACAAGAGTTTAGAACTACGCCTAATTAGAATATGCGAATCCTTCTCATTTAAAGTCTGTAACCGAGACATACCCATACACTAAACTGTTTGTCCAGAAATTAAGGATTTAGCTTATAACTGACACATTGAAAATAATATTAAAGTTCTTTCAGATCATTCAATTCAATTCAGTTCAAGTTTATTCTCTATAAGGATTACAATGTGGGGTTTACAGGTTTTGGATATTGTGTGGTTTACATGTTATAAAACACTAATTACAGAGGGGGCCACTAGGACACCTAGCATGGCTAGGCATTTCTGGCAACTTAGATTAATTCTTAACATTAAATCCTTACAGATTATGGAAATAAGGCTAAGTGACTACATTATAATTTGTGAGTTTAGCAATGTGAATGCTTCTGTTTTGGCACAGTACAAAGTGTCTATATTGGAGTATCATAGGCAAACTTATGACTAGTTAGAATTTATTATTTTAAGATTAAGATTAGTATTTCTGAGTTTATAGTCAGTGGGTGAGTGAGTGTAATTGTGAACCACCAGGTGGTTATCATGTAGTTAGTTGTCGGGGTGTATCAGGGAGATAAGATGTTTTCTAACTGTAGTTTTGAAAGTGATGAATGTGTCTGCAGTTCTAGAGTTTTCAGGTAGGGTGTTCCAAATTTTAGGTCCTTTGAAATACATTGAATTTTTGTAAAGGTTTAGTCGAACACGGGGAATGTCATAGAGATGTTTGTGTCTGGTGTTATGCCTGTGGATCCTGTCACAACTATCAAGAAAGTGTTTTAGGTCAAGGTTAATATTGGAATTTAAGGTCCTGTAGGTATAGATTGCACAGTAGTAAATGTGGATGTACTGAACAGGGAGTAAGTTTAGATCTATGAAGAGTGGGGGGGGGGTGTTGCCAGGAATGGGATTTAGTGATTATTCTTACTGCGGCTTTTTGTTGGGTTATTATTGGCTTTAGGTGTGTTGCTGCAGTTGAACCCCAAGCACAGATAGCATAGGTGAGGTATGGATGTATAAGTGAATGGTATAGTGTGATAAGGGCAGTTTGCGGCACGTAGTATCGTATCTTGGAGAGGATCCCCACCGTTTTGGATACTGTTTTTGTTATGTGTTGGATATGGGTGCTGAAATTTAGGTTGTTGTCGGGGTATAGCCCAAGGAATTTGCCCTCATTATGTCTGGCAATTAGAGTGTTGTCGATCTTAATGTTAAGTTGCGCAACACCTGCTCTGCTTACAATGCACATTTAAAAAGATATAAAACCGGATAAATAACATTGATAGTTAACTCAAAATTACTTATTAAAATTAATGACCCATTTTCTTTATAGAAGTACAGAGAATAATTTCTACGTTCACTGTCAAACATATCTGAAAATAATTCAACTGAATCATAAGAAAATAATTTGCTTACTTCTTTTGCATCCATAAACGACGATCACAACGATAACAACACTGAAGACAAATAACAGTATCACTAGTGTAGCAACAATCAATATCGTCGTATGATCAGACGGTTGAGAATTGCTTGTAGTATTCCTTACTGATGAATATGTAGTTGATACTGGTGCCTCAGACTCGCCTCCCGTTGTGTTGGTATCCGTGGTAGGGATTATACATTTACTTGTCCTCCAATAAGAACCTCCCTTAGCTATAACCTTAATGGAGGAGAACTTACCGAGGAAATACCAGCTGTCTGTTTTTTTTGTTGTCGAACAAGACTCTGTTGTGACAGCAATTCTCCAATTGTCGAAAAATTTCTCATCATTACAAACATGGAATTCAAGTTTATACCAGCGGTGAGTTTCGTTGACACAAAGGTTTAGTTTGGAAAATTCCGAAATCGTTTTACCTTGTAAAATTTCTATTATTATCTGCACATAATCAAAGTCTTCCTCCGGATAAAAGAAGAGAATGCCTCTATTATTTTTGGTATGATGAACTTCCTTAGACAAACTGCCGACGTAGAGTGAATCATCAAAACAGACATTTCTATGTAGAATATTCTCCTTTAACTCCTGTATCTTATCCTTAAGGGTGTTTCCAGTTTGTCCTACATCTTTAGTGATGGTCAGATGTTGATATTGTTCAGTGGTGTGGGGACGCACAAGCATGTTTGCAGTTACCTGCAGCCTAGGTAAGTATTGAGGTGATATAAGCTTGAGTGATGATGAGAAGTGTGTCAGAGATATAGAGCTTGCTAAAGAATACCCAGAGAAGATAGCCAGCATCCAGTATCTCCACAATGTCACACACACATTCAGGCGTTGTATCTTCATCGCACAGTAACCGTAACATGCCAAAGAGGCGACACAAGAGTGGTATAAGCTTGACTGAGGATGACACTAGCGTGTGCTACGTGTGCGTCGGACTTTCCGCTTGCGACACTCAAAGGATATTTTGTTATGTTATTTGCTCATGATCTCGAGATATGTTACTCGTGTACTTTTTTAGTTTTTTTTTATAATTCTTCTCTTTCTCAACTCAACAAAGCATGCAAATACGCAAATAATGATAAATAATAGAAACTCAGTAGTAGGGCAACACTCCAATGCTTATGTGTATTCTTCTTTCACCTACATATTAGTATTGCTGTGCAAAGTATTTGCTTTAACGGCATTACTTGAATATTTGTTCAAATCATTTAGGTAGTTGCTGGTCTGTTTCACGCATCTTCCTATCTACTACTTAACTAGTGTTTGCCTATATCCTTTCGAAATCTGACTATGCAATTAGAGTCTGTAGTTTCAATGCCCCCTTGATTAGGTATCTTCAGCATCTTTATTCCATTCCATTGATTTATATCTCACTTTCATTGGTATACCTAAAACATATCCATTCTCATTCAGTTATTTTCAAGGAGGTAATGTTTATAGGATGTCATTGTATCTTTTATTTTTTCCGATGTACTATTTATTACTATTCTGTAACGTAATGTGTAAGTAACTTAACAGTAACTTCCGGGCCGGAAGTATCGGCGAATCAACAAGAAGAAGAAGTAACTTAAAAAAGAATGAACATTACATTTGGCTTATTGGGTCATTCTTTGCAGCTCCTAGTCCCATCTATCCATTACCACTCTTATATCTGTCCAGTCTACCTATTAAGCCAAGAGAAGCTTACTTGTTTCTCTCTTCTTTCATGTTTCTCACATCTGCGATCTTCATTTGTTCTACTAAACCGGAACATATGAACCACTTTGAATATACAGTATGGTGATGAATATCTCTCTCTTGATACTTGTGCACTGAGAACACCAATGTATACTTGAAGGGGTATACACTTAGAGTTTACATTAATCCCTTAACTAGTGATTGAAGTGTTGAACAATATACATTCGGCTTTAAGGAGCCTTTGTGCAATCAAGAAACTTAAACCAAGAAAACCAGCAAACGCTAATGCATTGTGCATCATTAGAGTTGAAAGGGTGAGAGGCTTTTCATATTGTCAGACTAATATGAAACTTAGCTGTTTCCTTAACTGTGTATTGTTCAGTAGAAGCATCTGTCTCCTGAAATTCAGGCGTGGATATCAAAGGATAATACAACCATGTAAAGCCGGGTGACTGCACATATCCTTCACACCTTATATGCTTATTATAAAACACTAAGAATGCTTGGAATACAGTTATAATTAAAAAATATTAATAACCGAAAAAAATAGTTACTTTATTTATTCCAATAGATGGCACTGATCGAAATGGCGTTCTATGCTCCCTGGAAACATTAACACAATCTGTGATGACTGTTCAGTGTCAGTTTCGAAAGCAGAATATAAATAAAATAGCAGCTAGGCATCAAGACCCAGAGTTGCATCGAAAATTCATTGACACTTAGGTGATGATGGTGACATCACCTAAGTAACACCTCGTATGTGATGGTAGTGACATCGCCTAAGTAACACCTCGTATGTGATGGTAGTGACATCGCCTAAGTAACACCTCGTATGTGATGGTGGTGACATCCCTAAGTAAAACTCGTATGTGATGGTGGTGACATCACCTAAGTAACACCTCGTATGTGATGGTGGTGACATCGCCTAAGTAACACCTCGTATGTGATGGTGGTGACATCACCTAAGTAACACCTCGTATGTGATGGTGGTGACATCACCTAAGTAACACCTCGTATGTGATGGTGGTGACATCGCCTAAGTAACACCTCGTATGTGATGGTGGTGACATCACCTAAGTAACACCTCGTATGTGATGGTGGTGACATCGCCTAAGTAACACCTCGTATGTGATGGTGGTGACATCACCTAAGTAACACCTCGTATGTGATGGTGGTGACATCGCCTAAGTAACACCTCGTATGTGATGGTGGTGACATCGCCTAAGTAACACCTGATATGTGACGGTGGTGACATCACCTAAGTAACACCTGATATGTGACGGTGGTGACATCACCTAAGTAACACCTGATATGTGACGGTGGTGACATTACCTAAGAAAACCACCTGATATGTGACGGTGGTGACATCACCTAAGTAACACCTGATTGTGACGGTGGTGACATCACCTAAGTAACACCTGATATGTGACGGTGGTGACATCACCTAAGTAACACCTGATATGTGACGGTGGTGACATCACCTAAGTAACACCTGATATGTGACGGTGGTGACATCACCTAAGTAACACCTGATATGTGACGGTGGTGACATCACCAAAGTAACACCTGATATGTGACGGTGTGACATCACCTAAGTAACACCTGATATGTGACGGTGGTGACATCACCTAAGTAACACCTGATATGTGACGGGGTGACATCACCTAAGTAACACCTGATATGTGACGGTGGTGACATCACCTAAGTAACACCTGATATGTGACGGTGGTGACATCACCTAAGTAACACCTGATATGTGACGGTGGTGACATCACCTAAGTAACACCTGATATGTGACGGTGGTGACATCACCTAAGTAACAACCTGATATGTGACGGTGGTGACATTACCTAAGTAACACCTGATATGTGAGGGTGGTGACACCCACCTAAGTAACACCTGATATGTGACGGTGGTGACATCACCTAAGTAACACCTGATATGTGACGGTGGTGACATTACCTAAGTAACACCTGATATGTGACGGTGGTGACATTACCTAAGTAACACCTGATATGTGACGGTGGTAATAACTCTTGGGTGACATGCAACTTATACGCTCATTGTATAACATGTTTAAAATATTTTTCAATTTTGGGGCAAGTGTTTAGTGTTTAGTATTCAGTTATTAAAATAAAGTGTCTTAATAATTCAGGCTTTATGAATAGACAGTTATATTTTGTATATAATAATAGATATAAAAAAAACTGAATGGATTTTGCGTGTGATAAAATAGTAAAAAGCTAAATGTTGAGAATCTAGAGAACATGTAATGGTTATAATCCCGTTGGGTCACCAATTGGACAAGACCTGGACCGGAACACTTTCGGTGAACCACATCTAGTCAAGGTTATAATCATAACTATAAGTTTTAAAAGGGTGGACGGGTAAGCCAGCGGAAGGCCTCGGTCAGATGACCAAAAGTTCTAGCTGTGGGTCATCATATGACTAAGATCCGTTTCAAGAAGCAAATATACTGTTCCCTGACAAACCTTACCTAACCTCACCTGGCAATCTAGAGCTAAAGTTTAAGTGAAAGAAATGTTTTCAATTAATGGAAGCAAAAATGGTTTCCTATTAATGGAAATATTATTGTTTCCATTAGTGAATTTATTCTGTGAAAAGAATAAATTCTGATGATAGTGGAAAGAAGTGGATAGGTAGGTTATTTGAGGTGATCAGTTCACCAGCATTGATAGGAGGTGGTCAGTCCCTCAGCATTCATAAATCTGAAGATGAAGATCCAAGTCGTAGGAGAGGTGCAGTAATCGATGGTATCATCAGAGGTGGGAAGGACTCCATAATGGAATTTAGTCATGCCCAAGAGTTGTATCAAATACATCAGATATATAAAAGCTGAGGGACTGAACATTCGTCAAGGGTGGCCGACTAATAACTTCAAATTAGCTCTTAACTTCTTCCACCGTCTTCAGTATTTATTCCCCGTACAGAACTGAAAAAAATCATTGGATGGCATAACGCTACGATCAATGAAAATACACAGATGTTATTCAACTTGTTGGTTTTATGTACCATTAATTTTCATAATACTTGTCTGACACACCAACACCATGGAGTCTTGATGAAAATAAATGGTTGAACATTAAAATGGTATAAAATACCGACAGGTTGTTAGGTAAGACACATATGCAACAGTTAGGTATCTTTATTTCGAAACGTTTCGCCTACACAGTAGGCTTCTTCAGTCGAGTACAGAAAAGTTGATAGAAGCAGAAGAGACTTGAAGACGATGTAATCAGTCCATCACCCTTAAAGTTTTGAGGTGGTCAGTCCCTCAGTCTGGAGAAGAGCATTGTTCCGTAGTCTGAAACAATATGGAGTAGAAGTGACAGGATGGAGCCTTATATAGCGCCAGGAGGTGAGACGTAGGTCGCCTTAGCTTTTGGGTTAAGACATGGCCTAGTTCTACACTCCTTTCTAGCCCTAAACGTCGCATGTCCCTTCCTCCTCGCTCACCCCACTGGAGTCCCAACAGAAGAGCCTGAATTTCTCTTCTCAATATCTGTCCCACGATCGCCTTCGCTGCTGGGTTAAGCCCTAGCTCTATTTCTACGACTAAGAACACTCCTCTCCAGCACTATTCTTCGTCTGTCCCGTCTTCCCTTCTCGTCCCATTTGGGATCTTACCTGAACTTTCGTTCGTTCGTTCGTACCCAGGTAGTAGCATCACTACCTGGGGTGGAAGGTACGTGAGTACCTTCATCAGACATCACGTTCAGAACGCCCGTCAAGACACACCAGAGCACTGCTCACTCACGATGCATTACTCTGACAGAGTAAAGATCAAACCAGCGAGTGGCACAACCAATGAGTCGTCCAAACTAGCACTTGCAGCTGTCAGTGGCAGGCTGCAAGTCAAATGTAATGCGATTTTATCGCTCAAGGAGGCCTTTGTAGTCGTCTGTACAGACGACACAGAGGCTGAGAAACTACTTACCACTACTGCTACTACCACACTACGAGACCAGGGATTTCTTGTCTTGGCTTCCCCAGCACTGAGGGCCAGGAGAACTGTGTTCCTCAAGCGACTCGACAACCTTATCACTGTACAGGCCACTGAAGAAATCAAGTCATCTATCGAAGCAAAGAACCCTTGGGCCAAGGTGGACTTCATTACTAAAATACCCAATGCTTCATCCATGCTGAAGGTCACCTTCAGTGACGTCAACATGGCAGCCAGAGCTCTCGC